CTGGACCTGGTTCTGTTCATTCTCAGTGTGAAGGTGAAACTCTGCTGCATTAAATAAAGTTGCTGTAGATACAGAACCAGATGGTTCTGGACGGTTTTTCATTTGCATTTTACACAAAACAAACCTGAAAACTCTCATTTCTGCACCGTGTGCAGCTCACAGAGCGTCTGCCTGTTGGACTGCAGCTCTGTTGACTCAGCTTCTGCTTCACACAGATCTACGTGATCATCAGCGTTCAGCAGCAGGAAGAGCAGCTAATCCCCTCAGTCAGGGTCCTGTTGTTGCTATTAATTACACTATTAGTGTGAAAATGAAGGTGCTCCTGGCTGCTGATCCTTTAATGCTGGAGGCGGCTCTGCTCTGTAGGTGGTCATTACGTCGGCTGTTTACCTGCAGAGCCTCCAGGAAGCGAAAGGAGCCGAGGCGTCGGCCGCGAGGCACCAGGCAGAAGGTGGAGTTGTGGAGCATCTCCTTGTAGTCGTACCTGCAGACACACAGCAGACAGGCAGTCAGACACCTGGTGTGGGCTCAGAGACAGCATCCTTATTTCTGCTGCCAGATGAGCTTTAACCAATGAGCTCTCTGTAAAGAATCACCTAAATGACAGCATTGATCAGAACCAGGACCTGTAAAAACACAGACAGTTTCAGATCTACAGTCTTCCTTGAACTAATCATGTCTGAAAATGTGGGTGAATGAACCAAAGCTGAGCCTGAAACCTTCATTCTGAACGTCTCATTTAAACATTTGGCAAAAACAAACTTTGCAACAGATTCTGGAGAAAACTAAACTTTTTAATCACATCTTTGTAACTGGGCCTGAACACATCACAGATAGAAAGGAGCAGCAGCTTCTGTCTCCTGGTCCTCCACTGAGGTTCATGTTTCTCTGCAGCAGGAAGTCCTGCAGGAACCAGAACAAGAAGGAGGAGAGAGAACTCAGAGACGTCCTGTCAGCAGGACTCAGAACCACGGAGACCGAACAGACGACCTTCTAGCTGTGAGGCAGCGGCGCTAACCACCGATCACCTGCAGTCCTTTGGCTAAAACAAACTGACAACAAAAGTCCATTTACTTTAACCTGTAAAAAAACACAAAAATGATGTGAGCTCCATCAAACTACGACCGACTGGGACCAACGGTCATGTGA